AAAAAAAAAAAAAAAAAAAAAAAAAAAAAAAAAAAAAAAAAAAAAAAAAAAAAAAAAATCCCTCAGGCACCCCAGAAAGATGAACGCTATGGAGGATGGTACCAGAAATTTCTTCACCTTGTAAATCTTTGTAGAATATCTCTCGTTTTCTATACAAATTGATGTGGTTCTAAACGTACCAGGGCTAAAATTGCATAAATGAACCAATTATCTGTTCACATTCAAAGCTAGCTCGTACACAAAAAATAAAAGGAAATGCAGAAGTCATTTAAATCTTAGAAACAGTATGGATAACCACCTGATAGGCATAAAGCTTGACATATATGAGAGGCATCCGCTGATTTGCCTTGGTGTAGTGCTTTATTACTCGGTAAACTGTCTCAGGTACATACTCGAGCACCAGATTAAGATACAGCTCATCCTTTTCCGTTGTGGAAAAAAAGCAGTGTTTGAGAGAAACAACATTAGGATGATCAAGAAGGCGCATTGTTTGCAGCTCACGGTTCTTATATCTCTTATCCTGAAGGACCTTCTTGATAGCAACAGTTTCTCCAGTTTCTAGGCACTTAGCCTGCAAATGAAGTCATAAAAGCCATAAACAAATCCGATTCGTCCTAAAAAACTTGTCAATTTATATTAGTTAAAGAGTTTCCACACACCCTCATCCAGAAAACTTTCGGGGTTACAGAAGTTCAGAGTTTGCAATTGAACCATTACCTGAAATACAATACCAAAGGATCCCTGTCCAACTGTTCGCTCTGCCATGTAACTTATTGTCTGTCACAAAGATCACATAAAACTAAATTGTCAAAACAGGTCTAGTATTACGAAGGCATAACAAATCCTAAGATGTGGCAGTCTCAACAGGTGCAAATGGTTAGTTCGATTCTATCAGCATATTCATTGACGGTAAAAAGCAGCAGGTTTATAGAGTTCACCTGTTTGGGTTGACCATTTCGACCACCGATGGTAGTTACAATTATATGTCCAGTTTCTGTACCATTTCCATCAACCACTGTCGCTTCCATCTCCTGAACGTGGATAATGATGCATTAAGCAGAGAGAATTTTTATGCTAAAACAGCTATTCGCTCTAAGAGGCTAACCTTTTCAACCTTCTCATCTCTGATCTTCATTTCATTAATCTCCTCCGGAAGTTTATCAGCAAATAATGGAATAGCACTACTGGGTTTTCCAACTGGACCCCCCATAGCAGAAGATGCCATAATATGCTAAACTGGCAAAAATCACCAATATGATCCTTATGAAGCACAGTCTGTGCAAATCCTTGCCTGCAATTTGTGAAAACGGGTTATTCAGGAAAACAATTAAATAGAATTTACGCATGCAAAACACTTACATATGAATTCCCTGTGATGGCCAGAAAAAAAACTAACTGATGTGAATTGAGATATTGAATATCTCAAATTGCTCTTTCCAAAAGGTTTTAAAATTAAGATCCCTTAGTTGAATCCAAATAACTTTACCACTATGCCTAACTCTAGCCTTGGGAGCGTAGAAAACTTTTAATTTTTGACATGCAAATCAGAGTAACCAATAAACAGTATCACTGCAAAGTATAATTATCCCATCCTTACTGAAGCTCGATCCCTGAACAAATTCTTGTGTACCATTGAAGATCCTCCTTTGAAATTCGAAGCATGGATCTGAAGGTCCATGGTCAAATGAATCCGGCTTGGTTGTCGGAGAAGGTTGAGGGACATGCCCTTAAATACGTGAAGAGGACATTCTTAACGCTATTGGTAATAACTGGGACGGTGAGGGGTCAAAATTGTGGTGCATTAAAATGGATGGAGGAGTACAAGTTGACATACAAGAACAAAAAGACCAATAAGCTACACTACAAGTGGTATTGTTCGAAAATCTGAGGCCGTTAATGCGGGAAATTGCCCTCCAATGATGGTCATCTCTCCTGGAGAGCTGCAATAAAATTTTGGAAGCCCAATGAATCAGAGGGAAGGGGTTTGCCTAGTGCCGAGTCCTTTTCTGGGAAAGAAAAGATTCCCTTGGAAAAGTCCACATTTGCCTCTCCGTAACGTGGAACAACCCAAAAAGTGTTCCAAGACGCTACAATGGGTTAGGTTGTGGGCCTTCTCCGGAAGCGGTCGAAGTTTCCTTGGCTAGAACCTCATACCACTTCCAGAGAATGAATTCGTACGTGTCTAATCTAGTTTTGGAATACATTAACGAAAAAAAGAAAAAAGAAAAAAAAACTGCAATAAATTAAAAAGGATAACAAATTAATTTGCATAGAGGCAGAAAACTTGTTTTTAAACTTTACGAAAAACAAATCACGGTTAAAATTAGTTTGATAACAAAATTAGAAGAAAATATAAATTCAAATGATTTTAAAGCTAAAGATGGCTAAATATATTCTAAATTCGTAGTTTTCTTCAAAATTACAACAAATTTGTAACCATTTACTATATTTATGACATTTATAAAAGTACCAGTGCACAAAGGTGGCTAATATGAAGTATCAATCCATGTGATGTTCTCTCTAATGAAAAAAAAAACCAGCCTTCATATGAAAGTGGCTCGTTCTCCGCCCTCGTTTAAAAAGAGGGCACCATTTGTGGCGAGTAACATGCTTTGCTTTCATCTAGTTTATTTGGCTCGAGAGGAATAGAAGAAGTGCTTAGAGTGTCCATTGTTCTTTCTTTTTCGTCTTTTTGATAAGAAACCAAGGAGTAATTTCATTATCAAAAGTGGAGAACAAAGAGGACAAGTTCTTCAAGGAGGATTAAAGTGTAATCAATTCAATCCCTCTCTTTGGCATTGGAGTTCTTTTATTGTAACTTGCTCCCTTTTGCAGACTCCTCTTGTTGGCTCGCTTCTTGACCAACCCATGTGCCTGGAGCAATGCTCCAGCACTTCACCACCTAATAGGCATCCCGATAGAATTTCCGAGTAAAATCCAAAACAAAGGACTGACCGTAAAAGAGATGGAATGAAGCAATCAAAAAACTCAAAAATCTTCTCTTTTAGTAAAACTATCTAGGTTTTGACATGGAGAATTTGGATAGGGATTCAAGGTTGTTATGAAAATCTAGAGATGGAATGTGAAAGGAGAGGGCAAGGGGGAAAATTGAAGGGGGTGAAAGGAGTTCTTAGCATTATCCATACAAAATTTTCATTTTTAACAATAATCTAACCTCTGATCAATCAATGATTGAGTTGTCCAAATCTCGGTCAAGATCTAGAGATCTGGCCATTCATTGAAGTTGGATGCCTCAAGCCATGTTTTAGATTTGCAAGATAGATGAGACATCCCTTACAGATATTAAGAATTCTCTATTACTTTGAAGGCGTCACTCTATACAATGGACTCAATACATTGTTTGGGAGATTGTATCAAGGGGATCTTTACAATGTCCCTATATGTACCTTTGAGAAGTTTACAAAGAAAGAGGCAAGCATTGAATGGAAAACTTCGAGAAGTCATCACAAGAAATAGTCAAGACTTGGTTTCAAACACGTTAAATATGTGAGATCCCACTTCAATTGGAGAAGGAAATAAAACATTCCTTATAAGGGTGTGGAAACCTTTCCTTTGAAGATGCATTTAAAACCTTGAGGGAGAATCCATTCCTTATAAGGGTGTGGAAACCTTTCCTTTGAAGATGCATTTAAAACCTTGAGGGAGAATCCATTCCTTATAAGGGTGTGGAAACCTTTCCTTTGAAGATGCATTTAAAACCTTGAGGGAGAATCCAGAAGGGAAAGCCCAAAGAGGACAATATTTACTAGCGGTGGGCTTGGGCTGTTACAAATGGTATTAGAGCCAGTCATCGAGCAAGTATGCCAGAAAGGACACTGGCCTCCAAGAGGGATGGATTGTGAGATCCCACGTCGGTTGGAGAGGGAAACGAACCGAACCATTCCTTATAAGAGTGTGGAAACTCCTCCCTAGCAGAGAGATCCCACGTCGGTTGGAGAGGGAAACGAACCATTCCTTATAAGAGTGTGGAAACTCCTCCCTAGCAGACACGTTTTAAAACTTTGAGGGGAAGCCCAGAAGGGAAAGCCCAAAAAGGACAATATCTTACTAGCGGTGGGTTTGGGCGGTTACAAATAATATCAGAGCCAGTCATCGGGCATGTATGCCAACAAGGACACTAGCCTCCAAGAGGGATGAATTGTGAGATCCCACGTCGATTGGAGAGGGGAACGAACCATTCCTTATAAGAGTGTGAAAACTCCTCCCTAGCAGACGCGTTTTAAAACTTTGAGGGGAAAAGGAAAGCCCAAAAAGGACAAGCTTAGGCTGAAGCCTGCATGATTTTTCTTTTGGTTTCACCCTAAAACATTCCTACAGATGGAGTTCTTGTCCCTAAACATCTTCTCCACTTCTAAGTTCTAATCTAAATGGAATTATATTCAAATTCCTATCCATTCTTACAAATGAATACTGAACCCTTCTCAAATAGTCACTAAGATATCCACTCTTAGCTACAATCAAAGCTTGATGTAATAAAATTAACTTCGGTTTATTAGAGCACCCCACCCATCTGATAAAGCTCAACCACAAATCACATTGAAGTATAATCATTCTTAGCCATCAGTCATCAGATACTTAACCATAAGATGGGCATGGGATATTTAGACACACCCTCCAAGGTTGTTCCTAGTCCAAACCTCTAGTTGAGAACTTAAATCTCTTAAAAGCTTTGTTCTATTGGGACGGATGAAGCTGCTCAAAACTAGTTGGGTGAGCCATCAATCAGCACAGAGCAAGCAGTAAGCCCAAGACACCATAATCATACATGTATACATTTAAAAAATCTTCGATATTCATAGTTTATAAAGGTTTGCCCCTCATGACTCATAATCTTCGATATTCATACCGCTTCCCCTTCAGCCAGTTTCCCACACACTAACATTTCAAAAGGCCAAGAAATCAAGCCAGATAAACATCAGCACAAGCTTCCTCTAAGCATTTCAATAAAAAAATCCAAAAAGCCGAAAACAAAGGAAAAA